TTGAAAGTGTGATCTCTGTAACTCTCAAACCGGTAACACATTCAGCTACTAAAAGGAATCCTTGATGTTGGTGTGCTCCATTATGTGCTCTTCTATAAACTTTCCTATGAAAGTGGCATATCTCAGGTGAATGAGCTCCATACAAATGTCTGTTCTGTTTCCTTGACCAAATTTAAACTTTATTTGAGCTCAAGCAAAGGAAAAGTATACATGTGGGATATTGCTCTCTTCCTTCCTTCTTTTTGTTGAGCCTGTGATGTGGCATTTAGGTTTACTATCCTTTTTAAAGTTGTTTGAGTAGTCTTTTGATAAATGCCATTTTAAAAGGACTAAGAAAGCATTTTTTCCTAGTTTATAAAAGTAACTGGAAAATTCTTTAAAAAGAAAAAAGACATAACTAAGAACAAGCCTTTAGTCTGAAAATGAGGTTTTAAAAATATTGTGTGATTTCTCATGTGGATTTTCTTTTCATTTTGCTTTTTGGCAGATGGATGAAACTGTAAATATTTTTTTCCCATTACGGTGTTACTTAAATGTTTCCTGTTAGTGTGGGTGTTTACTTATATTCCTTTGGACTTTTCCTCAGGTGCTAGAAATGTTTATCTTAGTATTGCAACAGTGTCATAAAGAAAACGAAGACAAATGGAAAAGATTGTCCCGGCAAATAGCTGACATCATTCTCCCAATGCTTGCAAAACAACAGGTGGTTATATGAATTTCAGATACTTATAGATTAAAAAATTGTTATAATGTATGTATCAATAATGGCTTTGGGTATTGTGACTTCTTTTTTTTTTCCAGTATGAAGACAGATTTTCTGGAAAGTGTGGTTGCTTTACGTGGAGAAACAATTACTGCAGTGTAAACTAAGTCTTTGAAGTGATGAGGTCATATTTAAATGCATGAAGTATGCAGTATTTTCGAGGCTGTTTTCAGATGAAGCTCATTCTGCTTCTCTGAAATACATGAATATATCAGAGCACTTATTAAATGGTGTGAAAATTCCCCCATATTTATAGAATGTCAAATTATTTTTTCTTAACTGCAGTATGTCTAGTTGCTTTTTTTTTTAGTGAGGAGAATAAAAAAACATAGTCTGAAATGGCATTAATAAATCACAGAATCATGAAATAGTTGAGGTTGAAATGGATCTCTAGATATTGTCTTCCCTTTGAAGTAGGAGCTGCTGGAGCAGTTGCTTAGGACCATGTCCTGTCAAGTTTTGACAGTCTCAAAGATGGAGTCTCCGTAACTAACCTCTCTGGGAAACCTCTTTCAGTGTTTGAGCATCCTCACATGCAGAAAATAAATTTTAAAAGCCCCTGTACTTAAGCAGAACTTTCTGTATTGTGCCCATTACATCTTATCCTGGCACTGGATACCACTGAAATGACTCTTTCTGGCTCTTTCTTCTGTACCTGTGTCATCTCCTCCCCCTGTTTGCCCTGGTCAGATAATCTGGTAAGATCCCCCTGAGCCCTCTCCAGGCTGAACAGTCTTAGCTGCCCCTTGTATGACAAATGCTCCAAGCCTGTAACCACGTGTGGCTTTCTGCTGGACTTGCTCCAGTGTGTGCATGTCTCTTGCTGGACTGCACATTGGGGATGGAGAGTAGGCCCTTTATATCTGGGAAGAAAAGAAGACTCTTTTAGGAGAAAGACTTTGAGCGCTGCTCCCTAAGCAACAGATGACTTGTCTTCGAGACAGCTTTCCTGGAATTAGAAACACTTCAAGGATAAAAAGTAAAATTAGTTAAATTGTGTCCTTAATGTTCTTTACTCCATGATGGCAGATCCTCACTCCCATGAGGAGATCTTGTGGCTGGGGACAGTGGGCATTCATTGCAAATCAGACAACAGTTTTTGAGCAAAGCTAAAATGCTGACAAATTGAAACTGCTGTTTTGTATGAATCTGTGCATGTGCTCAACTACCAAATTATTTAAGCAACATAGGATCATCCAGATTTCAAGTCCAGTCCTTTGCTTTTTGCAGTTGATTGGTTTATAATTTATCTAAAAAAAACCTGGTCAAGTTAAGGTATCCTACCTCTGTTGCTGCAGTGTAATACCATTGTAGCTGTTCACTTTTCTGATGATTAGGATTTTTTTTCTCCCAGTTACCTGCTTAAGTTTATTCACAACTTGCATCGCTCTCTATAAATATGCCTGTTAAGATGTGCAGGGAGAAGAAAATTTGAGTTCTATTACAAGTCAGTCTTCTGGTCTCATTATCTGAATATGGCATATTTATCCTAATAAAGTATGTGGTATGTATATTGAATTTCATATGATAGATTTTTGTCCATGTTCTCAAAACTCCTGTGTAGGAAGGCCTGCAATTAAACTTTAATTTACCTTTCATCACTTTTGGTTGCTCTGGATTTTGTACTATAAAGGACATCTTTATTACACACAGATTGTCATAGATATGTTTAAAACATGAAATGATAATTTTGTGTTGCAGTTACCTTTAGTGGATAGTTACAAACTAGTTTTGTGTTTTACAGATGCATATAGATTCTCATGATGCTCTGGGAGTATTGAACACTTTGTTTGAAATTTTGGCTCCTTCATCCCTTCGCCCTGTAGACATGCTTTTGAGGAGTATGTTTGTTACTCCTAAAACAATGGTAAGCAATTCTTTCCAGAGAAGAGGAAATCTGGTGTCTTTCATGCAAAACCGAAGAAGCGTGTGTTTCTTTTTCTTAATTTGCAATGGAGTGTTAAAGTAGCTTCAGACAACAGGTTTTTAGGAAAGAGTTGGTTAGAACTAATATGATTTACCAACTGGGAGCACTTTACACAGGAACATTCTGCTTATACATTAGTTGCCTTCATTTTGTATTTTGTGGATCAGGAATGTGGAGAAACATATTGTTATATGTTATTGTATATTATTGTTATAATAAATTCTAGAATGCAATTTAATAGGTAAATCACCAGTTTCCTTATGCAAGCATTAGTACCGTTTTTATAATTGAGAGATTGTTTAACAGAGTGACTATAAGCTTGACAGCTACCACAAGAATAGCATTTTGGAAGACCTGAGTATAAACATTATTTCCTGCTTGCTCCATTCTCAAAAGGGTCTGATTCAATACAATAGTTAAGGAAAATTAACATTTTTGAAGTTAAACACCACAATATAGGAACATATTCAAAAAAATTCACAGTCTTCTGCATTTTTGTGTTTGTTAGGCATCAGTGAGCACTGTCCAGCTATGGATTTCTGGAATTTTAGCTATCCTTAGAGTTCTGATTTCACAGTCAACAGAAGACATCGTTCTATCCCGTATACAAGAGCTTTCCTTCTCACCGTATTTGATTTCGTGTCAATCAATTAACAGACTAAGATGTGGAGAAAATAACGTATCTGCACCAGAGGATCGCACTGAGGTTAAACAGGCTAAATATCTGCCTGAAGAGACATTTTCTAGGTATGTTGCCTTTTGAATAACTTAAGGGAAAGATTAAGATTCCTGAGAAGGTACAAATACCTTGTGCAATATATACACATGTATAGAACTGTTATCAGATAAGAATAAGTTCTGTTAATAAGTTGATATGAGAGGAGTGTGTGTGGAGGAAAGAATAATAAGATGGATGGTAGAAGGAGGAGATGAGCAGTTTGTAGTAAGGACTTTAGACTGTTCCGATGCCTCTTCTTGAGCCAAGTGAAGGACCTAATGGAGCTGTTAAAATGTGTGAAACCTGGACTTACTAAAATCAGGTCCAAAAACTTAACTGGTTAACCTTTTCCTTTCTCCTTGTGTGGGGACTGAAAGATGAGTCATACCCTTAGCAGAAGCCCAGGTTCTGTGCTAGAATCTTGACAGTAGATGAGTTAAAATCTATTTAGTCCTGGTCTTTATTTCCTATTTTTAAAGATCTGGTAATGTCTAGTTAACTTCCCATGCTGATGTTCTCAGAGTGACTAACTTCAGACAAACGAAGCGTGGAGAGATGGCAGTGGTATTATGTTGACGTAATGTTTGTCATTAAGGCCTTATGTGGGAAGCATTTGAAATAGCTATTGAAGAAAATAAGAACTTCTTACTCAAGTATGGAACTTCAGATAGAAATAAATGCTGTTTCTTATTATTCAACTCACTGCGAGGGTGATGGGTAGAGGGAAAAGGGGCTTCTGGACTCCAGTAATGTGACCTTGGAGCCCTCAGCACAGGAAAGACATGGACTGGTTGGAGCGGGTCCAGAGGCGACCACAAAAATGGTCAAGAGGGATGGAACACCTCTTCTATGAAAAAAAGCTGGGAGAGTTGGGGTAGTTCAGACTGGAGAAGAGAAGGCCCTGGGGAGACCTTATTGCAGCCTTCCAGTACTGAAAATGGGCATATAGGAAAGATGGGGACAGCCTTTTTAGCAGGGCCTGTAGTGACAGCACAAGGGGTAATGGTTTTAAACTAAAAGAGGGTAGATTTAGATACAAGGAAGAAATTTTTCACAATGAGAGTGGTGAAACCCTGGCACGAGTTTCCCAGAGAGGCTGTAGATACCCCATCCCTGGAAACATTCAAGGTCAGGTTGGACGGGGCTCTGAGCAACCTGGTCTTGTTGATGTCGTCCCTGCTCATTGAATGGGGGTTGGACTAGGTGACCTTTAAAGGTCCCTTCTAACCCGAAGATTCTATGATTCTATGACTTTAATGTCCATCTGGCGTTTGTTGAGGAATGATAATGGCCAGGAACAAGGATGACTTTCCTCAAATGCTCTGTTTTGTTGGTTTTTTTTTATTTTATTTATTGTACTTTTTTTCCTGGCTGGAGGTTTGGTATGGAACCTGTGTGGTAGGCTGAATTATTATGACTTGCTGTGTTACTGCTCCTCAGCTGAGCTACGTTAACTGTCATGGTGTGTTTTTTTAGATCATTGCAAATCACTGCAAAGATACCAGAGCATTTTGAATGTTTGCTGTGTGAGATGTATGCATGCTATCACAAGTTTAGCTGATGAGTAGAAAACCCAGATCCAATATGTAATTATTGAAGTGCTTGTGATCATCTCTCCATACTTATAGCATCATGTTTGTTTTAGGTCAACTTGTTATTTAGCATTTAATGTAGCATCCTGTTTAGGCTAAATGGACAAGGACTTCATGTTTTATTTTTTGAACTTACTGATTTTCATAGGCAAACCTCATCTTATTCTGAAAGATGTTCCATTCATAGTTTTTCTGTTGATTGTATATGTTGTTTTTCAAGGTTCTTGCTACAACTGGTTGGCATTCTACTGGAAGATATTGTTACCAAACAGTTGAAAGTGGACATGAATGAGCAGCAACATACTTTCTACTGCCAGGAGCTGGGCACGCTGCTTATGTGCTTAATACATATCTTCAAATCAGGTAATACTTTAAACAATGCCTTGTGTTGTAGCATGCAGTGACAGGGTGGTTTCTCAGTTCTCAGACAACTGTTGAATGCTTTGAACTACTGAGGAGTATGTAGGTGCTGAAGATGTTCTATCCTACTCAGTATAAAGAACATCCAAAACTTTGCACTGTGCATGCAGGGCGAATTTTTCACCTTTCTTCTGTCTTCTCTGTGGAACAAAATGTAACTAGTGACTTCTCAGTTCTCCTTTTAACTGTCTAAAATTTTCCAGTCCAAAAAATAAAGTAATTCCAAATTTGTGAGTGTATTTCTCATTGTTTTCCTCAATTTGGAGGTTGGTAGGTATGTCCAGGCCTAAAATACTGAGTTACAGACCACTGGTTCAGTCTCATGACAAGGTAGGTTCCTATTCTTTGTTATGTTTAATAAAAACATTAAAAAAAAAAAACACCCCAAACAATCAACCAAAAACCAAAACCAGAAAAGTAAGAAAGGTAGTACTATTCCAGCTAGCTGCTGTTGAGCTCCTTTTTTCAGGTTTGGGAACTCTGCCTTGGGTGTCTTCTGCTAGATATCTAGTCTTATTTTCCAAATAGTGACACAATCTTCCCTTTCTTAGCTATTCTTTCTTTACTATGACTGTCTTTTTAGCCTTCTGATTTTTACCCTGCAGCTGAAATCCAACCTTGACTTACATTAGTTGGCTGCAATTTAAAAGGTCTTGTCACAAGTCCCGTGTTCTTCATAGACTTCCTTACAGATACGGGACCAGGAAATCTGCATTTCATGGCCTCATCTATAAAATGGGAGTTACAGTACTTCACTACTTAAATGCAAATAACAAAATGTATACATAATACTGTTAGACATTTAACATGATTCTGTGCTCCATGGTGTCCCAACAACCTCTTTTTTTAAGCTCTTCCTACAGAGTTCAGTTATAAAGTCCTTTCTTGAGGAAAAAATACTTAGTTCTGTTCCTGTCGTTGCTACCAGCTGCTTCTTGCAAACATAAGTATCGTAGGTGTAGATTTAAAATAAGTAAATGAAGTGCTGATGGAAGTGGTTTGGGTCTTCAGCTGATTCTCTATCAAAACTCAAAGCTTCTACATTGCCTTGATTTAACTTCCAGTAGCTTTACTCCTCCTAGTCTTCTGTGACAATAACAGGTAGAAAAGTGAATGGGAAACCAAGTGAATTATGTTGTGTGAGTTTGTGCAGCCATGGTGGATGTTGTTCTGTCGTCTTGACTTCTGAGAAGAGAGCTTTGGTTTAAGAAGTTGTCCTCCAAATCTAGGTTCTTGCCACAAAAACTCCAGAATTGTGAGTGAAGAGGCAGAAAATATGGTGATAACCATATGGTGATGGTTACCAGAGCTTTCCTTTATCTTTTTTTTTTAAACCTGCTTTAGGGCACTGGATTCTGGATGTAGTGAGTGACAGTTCTCTTTTCCCATGTCTGTTACAATAATAACTAAAGTGTGTATACTATTAATTGCTGCTATGAAGAAACATTTGTAACAAATATTGTAACAAATAACTTAGCCAAGGTGATGTGGAGTGATTAAATGGTGTCAAGCCAAGACCAACTGTCCTGGTTTCAGCTGGGATAGAGTTAACTTTCTTCCTAGTAGCTGGTACAGTGCTGTGTTTTGGATTTAGGATGAGAATGATGATGATAACACACTGATGTTTTAGTTGTTGCTAAGTAGTGCTTAACACTAGTCAAGGACTTTGTGGCTTCTCATGCTCTGCCAGGGAGAAGCTGGGAGGGGACACAGCTGGGACAGCTGACCCAAATTGGCCAAAGGAGTATCCTGTACCATATGGCATCGTGCTCAATATATAAACCTGGGGGAGTTGGCCATGGGCACTGCAACTTGGGAACTGGCTAGTCAGTGAGCAATTGTATTGTGCCTCACTTACTTTGTATGCTGCTGCTGCTGCTGCTCCTTAATAAGAATAATAATTGTTGTTATTATTTTCTCTTCCCTTGCAGTACTAGTAAACTGTCTTTATCTCAACCCATGAGTCTTAACGTTTTTTTTTTCTTTTCTAATTCTCCTCCTCGTCCCACTGGTGGGGTGCATGGTGCTTAACTGCTAGCTGGGGTTAAACCATGACACCAGTGAAATCAGAAAATCAAGCTAGTGATTGAAATCAGGGAAGTGGGTTCTTCCACAGTGGGAGCTGTGGATAACGGGAAAGGAAGACTTGGCTAGTTCTGCTGTAGTGAGTGGCTTCCGAGCTGCACTGTGAGTCTTGCCAGGATCTATGTAGAGATTTTCATGCAAAGTTAAAACTAAATACTAAAATACTCATGCAGAGCACTGGAATATGTGTATAGCATGATCTCTAGCAATGAATTTAATCTGAGACTACAGATCAACTTGTAGGTACTACTAGTAATATGGCTACCTGATACAGTGTAACAGAGTAGAAGGAAGTGGACTCTACCCTGGCTGAAACCAGGACAAGACAAAGTGAAAATATTAGCATGTAGTGGCTTTCATGACTGTAGAAAGTCACTAGATGGTGCAATTACTGCAAATGCAGGAAGCTGGAATGGAAATAGCACTGCTTTGCTAGTAAGTGGAACACACGTTTTGAGACTGAGTTATTTTTCCCATTTTTTGCTTTTACGTTGTGTATTTATCGGTTCTGGGAGCAGCTTAAACTGGTCCACATGGCTGTGGAATTTATAGTTTCATTCTTCTGTATATCTGGCAATACAAGCAGCACTACAGATTTCCTTTATTCTGATTAGCTTTTGTTTTCTAACTGGTTCTGAAGAAACCCTTTTCTCCCTGATCTTATCTTCTCATAGAAACTCAAAGTCCTATACCTTTAGACAATTTTAAGTTTGTTAATTTTCCTTGTTTTTCCTTCCATTGTGTTGGCATATGAATACAAAATGGGCAAGTCAGAAAGCAAAATTCAGCTTTTGTACTGAGTGTTCAGTATGCAGGGTAATGACTTTTCTCCACTTAAAAACATTTACTTTTTGTACTTTAGAAACTGTGTGGAAGGGTATCTGTTTAGTTTCAACCAAATGTATTTGGGAAGCCCTCATGTGAAGTAGGAGACTAAGTGATCGTCCTTAGCATGTGGAATAGTAGTTACAGCATGGCCCTTCATTAGAACTTCTGTGTTTTGCTTTATAAACCAAACCAAACCCCAAAATCCTGGTCTATAATTAACAATTTTAAATTTTGTAAGATTTTCATGTATCAAACTTTTTGATGCATGGCAGAGAAAAAATTCAGAAGATAAGGTTCATTATAATTTTAGTCTGATCTAAAGCATTATTACTGAGTCTGGGGACTGGTCATTACTGGTTTACACGCTGGCCTTGGGCAAACTCCATAACTTGCCTTACACTTCTCAAACCACTTAGGATATAGCTGTCTTTGAGGAATGGTAGTGGCTTATAAAACAAGGTTTGTGTTCTCCAGGTACCCTGAATAATTTTAAAGCTTCATAATTCAGACTAGAGCATAGTTACTTTAACATGCTTTTATTGTTTTCAGGGATGTTTAGAAGGATCACAGCTGCAGCCACCAGGCTTTTTACAGGAGATGGATCTGATGGTAGTTTCTATACCCTTGAAAGTTTGAGTGACCTTGTTCAGTCCATGATTCCCACGCATCCTTCTTTAGTTCTCCTCTGGTGTCAAATCCTGCTTCTTGTCAATTATACCAACTACAACTGGTGGTCAGAAGTGCATCAAACTCCAAAGTAAGATTTGTTCCTGATCCCTAGTATTAATAATGTCTCAATTATATTTGCTAAAACTATACTAACAATTGATTTTTTTTATCTGCTAAGCCTGTGAACCTGTTGAATAGTACTATTTGGACTCTGAAATATAGTTCTGCATTTACTTTATGTGTATACATACTGTCTGTTCTGATATCAGTATGCCTTTCAAACTAAGGAAATGTGTCCTGCTCTCAGTTGTCCGACAGAAAAACTGACAAGTAATTTCTCCACTTTTAAGCCAAGAAAGCTTCATCTGTGTACTACTTTAAAATTATGGAAATAACTATAACAAAATATTCAGTATTTCAGATTTCATGTTCCTATGGAGACTTCATGTTTCACCTTCAGGCAAATAACCAGCCATGTAGAGGATATACACTGTTATGTTTATGAAAATGCAATCTGATTAGTATAACTATAATTATAGTTATATCTGTTCTCAGTGTTTCTATTAATAAATGCTATCAAAACATAGTATCAGCACCATGCTGATTCATTATCATGAAGCATCATAGTAACCTCACTTAGCGTTAGTTGTCTGAAATTCAGAGATTGGTCTAAAATTAGTGTTCCCTTGGTCTGAAGTTCGTTCATCCCACCTGTCAGGCATTGGAATGATTCATCCTCTGGGGGTAAGGAAGATAACCCCCTATGGGGGTGGGTATCCCTCTGTGTTAACTGTAGAGGTAGATTAACAACTGACTTGAGAGACATTTCTGATGCTTGAGCATTAGGGAAGACTAATCTTGCTCAACAACATGAGTGGATCAATACTTGCTCAAATGTGAGATTCTTGTCTCAGTTCAACCTTATGATGTGAAAAAATATTATTCTAATTTGTGGAAATGTGAAATTACCTGGTTTATGAGCAAAGTAGGGCAACTAAAATAGCTAAGGTGACATCTGCTATTTGCTGCAGTTATGTTTTTTGATTTACCAGTATTGCCTCTTTTTTTTCTTGGTTGTACATCACTTTTGATCTGACACTAGACTAAGTGCTTAAGAACCCTGGTTTGGCTTGAGAAGAAAATACAGAACTACGTTCTGTTATCTTACCAGATATGCAATAGCCTGTGTTTTTCGTTTGAATAGCCTAGTTCTTCAGACTGTCCAAGGAAATAATAAGCACAGAACAAAAAAGTGAAACTACAATTGTTAGAAACTAAAGAGCTGATGGAAAGTAAAGTGTCTACTTCAAAGCAGTATAATGTTTGAATGAAGTTTCTAGGAAAATAAATACTATGTAAGGACATTGGTAGGATATTAAAAACAATTTGATTGTTAATGTTTCAGTATCCATAGTAGTAATAGAGTAAAATAGTAACAAAATAAAATGTGCTTCTTGCAGGAGACATAGTCTTTCTACAACTAAATTGCTTAGCCCTCAGATATCTGGAGACAGTGATGAATCGAATTCAGAATCTAAACGTGGCATGTGCAATCGAGAGATAGTGAGAAGAGGAGCACTTATTCTTTTTTGTGACTATGTTGTAAGTTTTGAATATTTGAATTTTATAACTATAGTTTTGAGATATTTTATTATGCTGACAGGCTTTTATTACTGATGTGCATTAACTGAATCTATCTGGTTCACAAGTGAAAAATGAAGACTTGTGAAACTAGTAATTTTGTTTTCAGGTGGTGCTTCTCTAAGCTTAGGTATGACCTCATTTGGCTTTTTTCTATTCTGAACTGAGAATTCTCTTGGCTTGTAAAGGATACCTGGTGGGTAATAGAATTATCTGCTAGGTATCATATCCCTTACTTGTGAGGTGTTAGAAGCTACACTACTTAGTGTTAGACTTCACATCATCAGTAGCGGCGCACAATGTCTAGGGGACAACAAATTTCTGTTTCTATACCTTAAGAGGAGAGGTTTTACATTAACATTTGACTTCCATTTTGGCTCTTTAATCAGAGCAGTTCCTGTGGCCCTTGGCCTCTTGCTGCCTCAGTGTTAGCAATTTAGTTCATTGGGAACATTTGAAGTGGAGCTTCCCATAATATCTGGTGTTGCACTTTGGTTTGCATTGCAGAGCAGTTTTGGGGCAAGCAAACTGCACTCCTTTCAGATTCAACTAAACCAAAAGCTATGTTTAAGAAGCACTTCAAGTACTAATGGACGTTCAGTCACCAGAGTCCAATTAGAAGTGTAGTCCAAGGTAAAACCCTCCAAAACCTCTTTACTGGGGGGTGTCAGCCTCTCAGCATCACCTGGCTAGCTCTACAGATCTTATGTTGCGTTGAACTGCTGGTTAATACACACATAGCCTCCGTAGGTTTAAAATTAATTACTGATAGATCTCTTTGGATTTGCTTTCCAGAAATTATTCATCTTGTGTTTAAGGCCAGTAGTAATAAGAAATCTTTAAAAAGAAGCCTAAATGAAAATCACATTTTACAAGACAACTCTGTGTATGCATGTTTATTTCAAACAGCATTTCATTAAAAGCAGCATCTTTGAGTTGACCACCTCAATTTACTTGTTTCTAACCTGGATTTTTAGTGTTCAAAAAAAAAAATTTACAAATTCATTATAAATCTCTTACTTTGCAACAAGATCAAAAGCATTTGGAAAACTTGTCATGTAAAAGTAATTATGGTGATATTAAAATATAGACACTTTATGTGATAGTTCTGGTAGCTATTTTAAAATAATACATGAAAAACTTCATGTTTGTCAGATAAAGTTTTTTAGTAGTGAAATGCTTAATATGGGTATTACTGGAATCAGATTTTAATTTTTTTCCCCTTTAGTGTCAAAACCTACATGATTCAGAACACTTGACCTGGCTTATTGTGAATCATGTTCAAGACTTGATTAATCTGTCCCATGAGCCTCCAGTACAAGACTTTATTAGTGCTGTTCACCGGAATTCAGCAGCCAGTGGTCTCTTCATCCAGGCCATTCAGTCACGTTGTGAGAATCTTGCAGCTGTAAGTTTTTAACTTTTTGACTTATTTTAAAGAATAAAGTCACTTACATTTCAGCGTAAGTTTAACTGATAAGTATGCAAATTTTGACATTTCTGGGTCATTTATCAACTTCTAATTTTATTTTTAAAGTCACTTCTTTAAAAATGCAAAGAGCGAACCTTGTAATATATTAGCAACCTCAGCATCAGATGTGTTCCAATCCATCAAATCTATAAATGCAAGGAGAGTTGGTTAAGCTGCTTTTCTTCCTGTGTATTACCCCCACATAATAAATATCTGAAGGTTAAATTAAAGCTGTAACTTTCGTCTTTGATCTCAGTACTTGGTAGCATAAATAACCGAACTACTATAGATGCAGGAATACGAACCAGTCACCTTCATAGGCCCTGACATCATGAAAATGATTTGCAAGCTCATGCCTTCCCCATTGATCTGCCCCACAAGTTGTGGCATCTTCGTGAGGGAAATACTGCTGCAGAAAAATGCAATACACAATACACTAGTTCTGTTGATTATTTTAGTTTTCAAATTAAAAGGAGTGGATGATGTTTCTATAGGAATGTAAGGTTTTATGCATCCCTCTTAATCTGGGAACTCATTAGGTGGAAAGTGTCATTTCCTGGACTTCCTCTAGAGCTAATGGGAGGAGATGCTACCGCACCCTGAGTAGCCTGATAAGGTTTCCTGTCTATTCTCATTGTCTCTATGCAAATCTAGTGCAACTGCTTTAGTGCTTTAGGCATGTGAATAAAACACTTTAAAGTTAGGTAAGATGAATCTGGGCTTTAGTGTCTAAGCATCAGTAGAATGAACTAAACTAAATGTGTTCGAATGGAAGATGTAGTCATTGTGTGAAATGTTTAGTGATTGTCAGAAAAGTCAGTAAATTTAAAATAGCTGATATTTACAGTCTGCTCTGAAACAAGGTTGGTCCCATGAGTCAAACTAGTTTCTGTTTCTCCCCCTAGATTATTTGTGCTGAATTGGTGCTCATATTAAAAAAAAAAAAAAAAAAATTTCTTTGCTTCCCCTTTTAATCCTGAGTAGCCATTGCTGTTTCTATGACTAAACATGTACTCAAAAATCTTCAATGCTTATTTGGATTTCTGTACTCTTCTCTTGACTATGCTCATGTTCCTACTTTCTTCCAGCAAGAGTTCAAGCTTCTCACTGTTCTCAAAGCTTTCTACAATTCCACCTATGTCTCTTTAAATTTTTCCCTAAAAGTTTTGCTCCTTTTTGCTTAGTCTGTGAAAGAGTAAGCTTTTACAGTTAAACATTGAAAAACTTAGTGTTCGTATTAATTAAGCTAGTAACTCAGAAATATTCGTATGTCGATGACTATATTGATCAGCTGTACTTTTTTCTAAATGCCTTTCCCTCTATCTGTAAGATCATTGTATTCCAGTTGATTGCCTTTTTTGTCTTGTTTTGTTTCAACATCTAGCCCACAACTCTGAAGAAGACTTTACAGTGCTTAGAGGGAATACATCTCAGCCAGTCTGGGGCTGTCTTAACATTATATGTTGATAAGCTTCTGTGTACTCCATTCCGTGTGCTTGCTCGCATGGTTGACACACTGGCTTGCCGTCGGGTAGAAATGCTTTTGGCTGCAACTTTACAGGTAAAGATAAATATTTTCATTTGTAAATAAGATTGGGTAATGCTAGCAATATAATTGAGTGTGGTAATGTTGAAGTACATCAAAATGTGATGATGTTTAAGTCATTTCACGGGAAAGGAGGTTTTTTTTAATTTAATATATAGATATGTGAATGTTTACAATTCACTTCATAATTTTCCTAATATGTTCAAAGTACTTATGGGTCGTTTGTCCTATAAAAATTCTTGTGATTCTTTCCTATAGAACAGCATTACTCAGTTACCAGTTGAAGAACTGGATAGAATTCAGGAATACCTTCAAAACAGTGGATTAGCAACAAGGTAAATAATGCCAAACTAAGGAATGTTCTAGTACTAACTGTGTTAACTCTGTTTTCCTATGTTTGGGTTTTTTCTTAAAGGTAAGACAGTGGGTCCTTTTTGGAGATAAAACGGGAGTAAAGCCTCTCTTGCAAGATGCAGGCATATTCTGGCACAAGGGCAGTTATGTTGGATGAGTTGAATTTGCAATATACTTAAGAGTTAAAGCAATCTAAAGGCTTGAAGGCATCAAATTCTCTCTACCACGTCCCACTCAGTATTATACTTTTGAGAGACAGAAACTGCAAATTAATTCCTTGACAAAAACTACATTTGCTGAAAACAGCTTTATTTTCCTCAATTTTTATGAATTTTGTGAGTTCAGGCTGGGTGGGCTTGATTTTTTTTTTTACACCCCCCCCTCCCCAAACCATGTTGAAAGTTTTAACTGTTTAGTCTCCCAGCTGTTTAAATGTGAGCTGCTATTATAAAAAGGAGAAAATTATGCTGGTTTTGAAAAAGCTTTATTTAATGTTGGAGCGAGCCCAATTTGTTCCTTTTGATGTCATTGCTGTTTGAGGTTAGCATCTGTTGACTGAAATAAGAAGGAAGTAGGGAAGGAATTTAAAGCCCAAGACTGCAGTAGATTGATAGTAATGTGCCTTCATGGCTAATGTTACATTGGAATTTTTAAAAACACTCCAAAATCTCCAAATGACTTTATACAAGTTCTCAATAGCAATAATGGGAGGAAAAAAACCAAACAAAACCCCAAACCCCAACACTGATGTAAATCCAAAAAAACTGGAATTCTTAATATATTTTTTTTAAAAAGTTTAGTTTTAGAGGGTTCTTGTTTGGTATCTGTTAGAACGTATTTGTCTGCAATCAAATCATCTGTACACTAACTTACTAATGTTAGTGTTAATGTTAGCTAATGTTAGGTGGCCCTTACTAATTAAAAAGGTGTACTGCGTAAGGAAAACTGGGCAGCTTGCATTTTATGCTTACGCATGTACAAATTTGAATTTAAATTTAAAACTTCATTGTTGGTGGTGCTGCGCTCATTTGCTTTGGCAGCTGATAGCTGGTGAAATTTGTAGTTTTGCACCATATGACTGCATATATCCAAGAAAGAACTTAAGACTCTACAGCTTTTCTCTCCCAGGATTGGAATTGCCTCACTAGATGTCTTTCTATTTTTAAGTGATTTACAAAACTGAGTAAATTAGCTCTCTGCTGATGTGTTCTTCTATTTCAGACACCAAAGACTTTACTCGCTCTTGGATAGGTTTCGTCTTATGGTAGCACCAGACACAACTAGTCCTTCACCTCTGGTTACCTCACACCCACTAGATGGAGAAGACCAACCAGCTTTAGAGAATGTAATTCTAGACAAAGTAAGGTTATGTTTAGAAAGAGTCACTAGTGCCTTGACTCTAAATAAGCTTTTGCTCATTACAAAATATTTAAATACAGCTTACTTTTACTATGCAGTTAATGTTCTCAGAATTGTCAATGAGTCTCAAATACAGATCAGCGAATGATTTCACATGTGTTGGCTCACTGTTGAACTTAGGATGAATAATTAGCATGTGCACACGTTTGTTTTGTTGATGGTGCTGTGAAAAGCTATCAAGTTTTGTTTCTTTGCATGGCTTTAAGGAAAGATTTATATAAGGTTCAGTAGAGACAGATGCGTACTCTTACTTGTTTTCTTGATATGTTTACTGCAGTGATCAGTTTTATTCATTTGCTGAAAACTTGGAAATTAAGCCTTGCTTCTCCGTTGCCACTTCTCAGCTTTAAAGTACTTTCAGAGAACAAACATGACTACTTAACTGTTTCTATCTTTCGTGTAGATACATTTATTTCAAAGCAGGGTGGGAGGCTAAGAGCGAGCCTTTTAGCCTCTGTATCTTCCTTTCTAGTTTCTCCCATGGTACAGATGACTTCTCTTTTTCATTCCTTTGTGTCCTACAGTGATATGTCCTACAGTAATATGAAGTGTGTGTAAATGAGATGGAAAAAATTGTTTGATTAGCTGACAGTTTGGAGGAGACCGATAAGTAGTCGAGGAACCCATTGACTTGAGAGAGTTTAAGAACTACTTAGGCAGCAGGAGGAAACACTGTTTGTGCCCAGAAACCACTTACCCATGCCTTTCTTACTTCAAATTAACCAAAAAAATCTCCTTCCTCTGCAACTGTAAATCCTGCACAAAGGAAGTAGTTTTTATATGCTTCCTCCACAAACCTAATGTAGTTCATGGAATCGTAGAATATGTAAAGTTGGAAGGGACCCATAAAGATCATTGAGTCCAACTCCCTGCTCATCTTCCAGATGCTCTCTGATCTCTGACAGGCTTAGTCACATTCTAATTAATGTCAGCAAATTTAGGATGTCCAGTTATGAGAAAGAAAACACATAAAGGAATAACTAAGCCTCTTTATATTCCTTAGTTAAATCAGCTCCTGTAGGCTCATCACTAGTAATTTAAGGAGTAAATTTGCAGTGCTGCGTGATGGTCTTCATTTATTTCAGTGAGTATTAAAAGATAGATGTTATCTTCATCTGCTGATTTATTTCAATTTGAAGACTTTTCCTACTTGGTTATAGTATTGGGGCTTTTTGCTGCTACTGTTTTGTTTGTGTAACTACTGAGTATTCCAGTTTTTTTCCTAGATATTCTCCTCAGCTTTAGGATCCTAATACATACATCTGTGCTAAATGTTAAGCTTTTTTTTCTTGTTTCCTGTCCAGACTCTATGGAAATAGACAACTTGACAGTGAACATCCATTGGTCTATTTTAAGGTGGTCCATATATCAGTGCTGTGTGTTGCCTTTTTTCTTTAAGGTTTTTTTTTACATTAATGTGGCCTAGTGATCTCTTAAATGGACCACAATTCAATGCCAGTGAGCAATTCTCTCCCTGCCCCATGAGGTGTATTCTTTTCTGGGAAAATAAGTAATACATTTCTTTGTTCAATTTTTAAAGGACTGGTATGTGTCACTAGTGAGGTCACAGTGTTGCATCAAGTCTGACTCAGCACTGCTAGAAGGTGCAGAGCTGGTAAATAGGATTCCTCAGCCTGATCTGAACTCCCTCATGACCAGCAAGGTAACTTCTTTGTCAGATGAAACAGTCATCTGAAGAGGATCTAATTATTTCTAATGTTCTTACTGGTGGTATTAATGGATTAGATTCTTAAATGTAAACACTTCAAATTTGTTTAACACTTGTTGTTCACTTCTTGAATTTCACTTCATTTTGGAAACTAAAATAGTAGGTATGTTTCATTTCTGTGTCTAGCAATGCTGCTAATAGTCACTTTCTGGTAGTACAGAAAGTGTATAGTGTGGAAATGAAGGTTAGTTTATGTACTGCAATCACAAAAATCCAGTGTTACCATTTTACGTAATCTTCTCGTTTTGCCATACAGTCTCTTACAAGGCCAGATGTTTCTGTAATATTTTAAATATCTGTGCTAGATTACTTGCAGTATGCCACTAACAGGCCACAGGTAATAAATCTGGTATAAAGGACAACCTGTACCTATTACTTAATTTTCTAAGAATTTTGTTCAAATTCTCTATATTACGTTTGCTGCTGGTATGCAGAAATAATAGTGGGAAACTGTTTTTAAAAAGATTTTTGACTTATTTGTTTGAAAACTTATTACTTGAAAATTCCTTGTATATAGGTCTTTATATATAGGTCTGTATATAAGCTTTATTCATAGATTGTTCTGAAAATTTGGAATAAGCATATTGATTTTTCTTTCTAGTACAGTAATGTTTCGAATTTAAATGTGGAACAAATACGGGCTTAATTATGGTATTGTTACACTACAGTTGAACAGAGGTCATAATAACAAGTTAGTTAATTAATAAACTGTTAATTTACCACCATATTAGTATGCCAAAATAGTATCAGATACTGTCAGAAACTTAGCTTCTCTTCAAAAGCAATTTCTTTACTTTTTATTTACTATTTGGTTTTAGGAATTCAATCTAAGCTTGTTAGCACCTTGTTTAAGCCTTGGCATGAATGAAATCTCAAGAGACCAGAAGAGTAGCTTCTTTGAAACAGCGTGGAGAGTAACTCTGGATCATGTGTCTACCACTGTACAAAACCTTCCTGCCAGCCACTTGGTTTTTCAACCACTATTGCCAACTGAGCCATCAGCCTACTGGAAAAAACTAAGCGACATCTTTGGTAATAGAAATAACAGTCTTTTAAAGTTTATTTTCTCCTCTGCAAAGGTACTTTACAGATGTCTTGTGAATACATGAACTTTCTATTTTAAAAAATCAAGATACCTTATGAAATTATTCTGAAAAAAATTTATTGAGGGGAAAAAATTCAAACTGCTAGATTTCATCCAGTCTTATTTTATAGGAGATGAGGTGATGTATCAGTCTATGATGACACTTTGTCGTGCACTGGCTCAGTATTTGTTGTTACTCTCAAAACTACCAGCTGGTCTCCGTGTTCCTCCTGACAAAGAGGATGATATCCTGAAATTCGTAGTTATGTCAGTAGAGGTAAGAAACTACAGCATAGTTGAAGATGTGATGAAATGTTGGGAGAGGGAACAACTTTGACTTAACTTTGACACCATTGAGTAACTTTTGATTTTCTTAACTGTAGAAATTTCTTCAGTGGTTACTTTTTGACCTGTGCTAGTAAATCATATGGACTTATAGGACAAAGGTAGCTTTTTACAAGGAGAGGTTGATTGAATGATGGAATGATCTTCCGTTTGGGAGAATGGCCTTGCAGTGATTTTTGAAACACTGAATAGACAGTATTTAATACTCATGATTTCCTTGTACTTAAAATAAATTCTGTTCTCTCAGGAAAAAAATCAATACACCTTGCTAATAAAACTTTACATATCACTGAGTAAAAAAAAAAAAAAAAAAAACAACAACCCCCCTCCCCCCCAAAAAAACCCCAAAAAACCCCAACCTTAACAAAAAAAAAAAAAACCCAAACCCCTGAGAAACCCCACCCAACCTTTTGGTTATAAGTTCTTCTGTTGTGAGAATTTGCTATTAATGGGAAACTTATTTTTGCACAGGCACTATCATGGCATTTAATGCATGACCAGATTCCATTAAGTGTAGATCTTCAAGCTGCTCTGGATTGTTGCTGTCTGACGTTACAGCAGCCTAGTCTCTGGAATTTGCTGGCTTCTGCAGTTAATGTGACATATGCTTGCTCCTTAATTAATTGCCTTAGATTTATCATAGAAGCAGGTGAGTCCAATTTGAACAGCTATGAGAAAATTTTCTCTAATAAATCATCAGTCATCACTGATCAAATGCTAAATGTCTACAATATTTCCTCTGAGTCCTTTTTAATTATTTGACAAATTAATTTCTACTATTTTAATTTCTCACTTCAAATTTTTTGTTTACTTTTGAACTTGGCAGATGCCTTGGAGATGTAAATATTTGCCTACTATGTGGTTTTGAGGAGAAAAATGAGATATGTAATGGCTGTATCTTTCAAATATTTTTGTTTAATTCAGTTGCAGTTGAACCTGGTAATCAACTTCTTAGTCCTGAAAGAAAGAAGAACACTTCAAAAGGCATAAGTGAGGGTGAAGTTGATTCAAACATACAAAGTAAGTAAATGGAGAATTCCACATTTGCCTTAAACTTTCACTGAAAAAAATATTTGTAGGTACCCTTTCCATTCCTATTTTTTTTAACAATGAGAGCTCATCTGAGACCTTATTTGTATTTGATGAATGTTTATTAAATATAGATTGACATCTTTTTAGCAGGTATAGTTGTTTTTTCCTGGAAGTTAAACATTAATGCAGATCTTTCTTTTGGGGGATTGTGTTAGCTGTGCAGCATGCTGCAGATTGAGCTTTTTTAAGTTATGGAAGAGGTGGAATTATTAATATTTCTTCTGTAGAATGGCAGATTCATTATCTGCCCTTCTACAGTATGGGAGCCATAGGCTGAGGTGAAGGTCAAGTGTAGTCTGTGAGTGTGGACAGCATTGTTTTCCATATCCAGCTGTGCGGGTACAGTAAGATACCACTTCCATCTACAGGAATTACCTGCTTGTCAGGTTTAGCATACCCAGCTATGTGACTGCTTTCTCATAAAGCAGATGAGTCTCTGGTCACCTGGTAAATTCTAACAAATGCTCTATTCAGTGTGGCCTGTTCAAGCATGTGAGGTGCTCTGCTGACAGATCGCAGGTACTGGCAATCTCCAGCACTGAGACTGGCAAACAACGCAAGCTATTGCAGGGAGGATGGTAGCAGTATTCTTCAGCTAGCTGAAATGCTGTAGAATATTTCTTTGTCTACATCCTTATTGTGGTTTTGTCCTTTTCCTTGACATAATCATTCATTAAGCATTTTTTCTTTTTCTGTATCATTTTAAATTATGTGTCTTTTGACTAGATTCATAAAACTGAATTTCTTTTTCTCCCAACAAAGAAACGAAACACATTACTGCAGCTTGTGAAATGGTAGCTGAGATGGTGGAATGTCTACAGACCGTCTTGGCACTGGGGCACAAAAGAAACAGCAGTATTCCAGCGTTTCTTACTCCCATCCTCAAGAACATCATCATCAGTTTAGCAAGGCTGCCTCTAGTGAACAGTTACACAAGAGTACCTCCCTTGGTATGTTCATTATGCTTTGTTTTCAGGACTTCAAAGGCTATTGAACAACTCTTTTTGAAAACCAAATATGATGCTGCATCTTAAGTTATGTCAGTGGGACTCCAGCCTTTAGCTAGTTTGATCAGCTAGTTTGTCTTTCTAAACACTGAGTAGCAAAACATTGTAAAGATGTCAAAGAAGAGTTCACTTTGGAATCAGAGATCTGATTAGAAAGGATCGTAGTTGTTCCTTACATTCTTTCTTGAAAGAATGTCCAGGTGGTAGTTTAAGAAAGGAAAAGCAGTGACTTGGGTGCTTTGTTAGGGCTAATATTTCCTCCTGCTCAGTGGGATTGCTTACCCTGGAAAGAGTGCAAAATCTACCCTTCTTTGACGCCTGAATTGACAAATTCATTTTTTTGTCACACTAAGCACCAAAATGATGCAATGGTGCACTGCTGTTTGTGTGTGGTACCATGGTATGCCATGCAGATACTTTTGGATTGTATATTACAGTTCTTTCCTAACTCATCTTAGATCTTTTGGACAAGGTATTTCAACCTTTTGTTTTTGGCTCGTGTAACATGGATTTAAGAATACCTCATGATTACCTCCAGATATTGTTAGTATGGTGAAATGACTTTGTTTCAATAAACTTCAAAACCATTATCGGAAACGTTTCTAGATGCATACTAGGTAGAGCACAAGGAGGTTTCCTGATATGTGCAAGGCCATTTCTTGGGCCTTTCTCAGTTTCTTAGCCCTCTGTTTTTGAGGGTATGTCAAAAGATACTAATATTTTTATGATTGAGACTTTTTTACCCACTCTCAGGGGTATTTTCTTGCTTTTTCAGGCATCAATAGTCTGTGAACTGTCTTCCCCGATTTACCTTTCAGCATCATTTCAGCACAATCTAGGGGTCACCTGGCACTTAAATTCTAAACTGAAATATATGACATGACATTATTTGCTTTCATATCCAAACTTGGACAGTGGGACTGAACAATTCCTAGTGAGAAATATGCAAAAAACACCCACCCAAAATTAGAAAGAAAGTGTAAAAAGTATATTAGATATCTAACAGATATTTAATCTTTAAGGTTTGTTTGTGTTTGGAGAATTACTTTATTTACTGATATCTCATTGCTTTTGAATGGTGCATATATACTTATAACTGTCATGTTAATACGATTTCTGTTTTGGATAAGTAGATTGTTTTATATTTCTTCAGGTCTGGAAATTAGGCTGGTCACCAAAGCCTGCAGGTGACTTCGGCACGGTTTTTCCTGAAATCCCAGTAGAATTTCTTCAAGAAAAGGAGATCTTTAAGGAGTTCATCTATCGCATTAATACACTTGGTACATGCAAAATTAAAAATTCATAGACTTGGCTCTTGTTAGGCATTTACCTGTATTGTGAAGCTGCTGAATAACTGAATTTGGTACAATGTGTTTACTTTTGTTGCTTCTGTGGGAGAGAAATAATACCTCAGAGCAGGTTAATAATTGTGCTGCAATAATTCTTACATTTTGCTCAATGCAGAGAAAAAAATAACAACTTAGAAACGAAGCCAACTCAGGTTGGAAGAGCTTAGTGTGCTCTTACAGAATGGCCACTTGTTTTGTGGAGCATGCACTTGACAGTATGTTTGAGAATATTTTGCTTCCGCCTTTTTTTATTCATGCAAAGTATATAAATAGAATTTAGTGCCACATTCTCAATATTTTAAATTACATGCTGTCACTTTAAAGCTTCTGGATATGTCAAGGTTTACTGAATGAGGGCAGTGGGGCTTAAGAGTTCAAGTCTTTGTCAACAGATGAGACTGTGATGGGTAATGCATCAAATTTTCTGTATGCTTATGGATGTTCTTTGGCTTTTTTGGTGGTTTTCCCCCCTCCCCCTCTCTGATTTATGGGTTAATACTTGATTGACTTCTGGTGTAGCACTGATTTCTGTTTGATCACTATAATGCCTAAGATGACACTCTCATTTTTGATTCTTTAGATATCCTTAGTATAAACAGCAAGGTATTATTCAGGAATCCTCTGCAGTCTTTTTATAGGTGAAAATATGTTTGGAAAAACTTTGAGAAGTGCTTCCATTTTAATGGCCTATTTCTAAGCAATTCAGTCTTCTTGCTTTTAGGGCATGGAGATTTCTTGGATCATTATGGAATCCTTCATGACTGACTTTCCTGTGAGAATTGGCCAATTTTCTGGATGATTTTCTGTGTTGTGAAAACCTGATAGATCACAGTGTTTTGAAAGTTGGATAATCAAAGCATTTATACGTATATAAGAAACAACCTGAGCAGGACCATTTAAATAATAATGTGCAGAACCCTTCTAAAGGGTTCATCACTTCCTAAAATAGAACGCTTTAAACTTAAGCTGTAGTGATTACAAAAAATGCCAAATCAAATAGGAAATGGTATGAAACTAAATCTGTGGAAATGATGTACCATTTTTTAATGCCGTTCCATGTTTTAAGTTTTGTATTAAGACATAAATGGCTATCTCTGAGTGTTTCCATAGGGTGGATCAGCCGTACTCAGTTTGAAGAGACTTGGGCTACTTTGCTTGGTGTGCTTGTAACTCAGCCTATTGTAATGGACCAAGAGGAGAACCAACAAGAGGTAATGTCATTCACTGAATTTTTTAAATTAAATTTTACTTAAACTAGGAAAAATGTTTCTATTAAACCTGTAAAGCAGAAGAATGATGACTAAAATGAAGAAATTATTTCCATTTTATATTTCCTTGTCTTCATAACCCTCTGAGTTCAGACACATCCATCTTGTGGCTTAAAGCTTCTGCAAACATGTAAATAGCATAGAAAAATATTAGTGAAGCTGTTTCAACTTTATATTATGTCACTCAACACACACACAGTTCAAAGTTTGCTTGGCTAGATGTTTGACTTTGGGCACAATAGGAACTCCAAAAACTTGGAGAAACAACATGCAAGAACTGTGCCTTTAGGAAATATACTAGTTAACTGCAACTAGTATATATTACTGCAATTATCTGTGCTATCTAATAATCCCACTTCAATGGAGTTTCTTTGGTAAGATTATTTTTGTAAGATTCTTGACTAGAAATTAATTGACCTTGAGATGTATGCCTATGTCTCTTGCTCCCAGTTATAGACTGTATATTGGATAGCTGGGCTTCTAACTTGGATGCCTCAGGTAAGTGTTCAAAATTCAGTGGAGGATGTTTGGGGATCAGAGCTGAAGAAATTTATCTATACCAAAAGCAAAGATGAGAGTGGACTTTGCTATCACAAAAGACACTTTCCCTCTTCAGGTGTCTTAACCTGCTTAATAGGTTCTAGCTCTGACATGAAACGTCATACAGCGTTCACTCCCAGATTGTGAACCTGATTGTAGGTGCAGAGCCTAAAGCATTTTTGAAGAGTTCGGAGGAAAGATGACTGAATAGTGGATCCTGGGTAGCAGACAAAGGCATTTGTTTCCTTTGCTTCCTAGGTGTCAGACTCTAAAAAGGAGTAGAGTGTCATCACCCCTATTCCCTGGGTTAGCATTTTCTGTTAGACCGATTTGGACACTTGTGCAGCGTGCAGGATTTTTTACTTTTTTCTACATCTTTACTTAACTCTTTTCTACATAATGGCCATGTTGGATGAGACTTAAGGCAACCTAGTTATTGGTAGTTCCTTATTTGTCACGTAGAGAACGTTTATTTCTAGAATAGGAGAAATACTGCTCCTTTACTTTCCAAGGAAAACTAATATGTTCAAAATTGCAAACATTTTAAGCACTATTATAAATTCACTTTTTGAAAAAAGAGTTGAAAATTTGTTACCCTCGTACATTTTCTAAGAAGGTTCAGACTTTCTTGTGGTCTGATACTTTCAAGAAGGAATCAGAATTGATACAACAAAAGCAAAAACTGAGAAACATTCTGCCACTTCAGAATCTGCAAGTGCTTGTGCTGTTCTAATTTTAGTTTGTTAAAAAACCTGATTTAGTCCATGTACTGTGAGGATTCTTGCTACCATCAGCACAGGGAGGATGAGTTACAACCCACAGTGTCAGAAGTTTATTTTAAGAGATTTTTTTTAAAAGGGAAAGAAAGGGACTACTACAGTGGTGGTGATTTATGGTGGAAAAGTACTTGATACAATGTGTGTAGTTCTAAATACTTCTGTTGGGGAAAAATGGGAGTGCCTCAAGTGTGAATAATAGACTGAATCTAACCAAATATTTTAAGAAAGTTGCGTTAGAGTTTTCTCACACTTTTACGGTGGTGCTAAATACTGAATGTGTTATATCTTGGTTTAGAAGAAACATTGGATGTGTGTGGATAATGATGTCCAGGAAAAATGCTGCTGAAATTTCATGATGAGGTTGAGTTTTGTTCCTAAACAGGTAGTTACTAAAAACAGTTAACATGGATCTTTCTCTGAAGAGTTTCCAACTCAGATTTGTCCTTTTTGGTACTTTGTTTCAACAGGTAGTTAATGGGTAGATACAAACAGAGAAACTAAACACTTTGAAAGTTCTGAAATGGACATCTTGAGGTTGTAATGCTGTTGAGATATGAGAGGATGCATGCCGAATGGCTGATGAAGTGGAAGGATGTGTTGCTGCTACAGTCACAGTGCTTTGTGTGCATTGCTTATGTCAGCTAGGCTTCTGGATGGGAAGAAATCTAGATGTCAGGTTTATTAACGATAATTTAGTGGAAGGTGACCAACTGATATTTAGGGCTTTCAGGATTCTTTTTTTTACAATTCAAATTACAGTAAGTTCATTTTACAGGAAGATACAGAGAGGACCCAAATTAATGTTCTTGCAGTACAAGCTATAACTTCCTTGGTGCTGAGTGCAATGACAATACCTGTTGCAGGCAATCCAGCAGTTAGCTGTTTGGAACAGCAGCCCCGCAACAAAGCTTTAAAAGCTCTGGACACAAGGTATTTTTTTACTTGCTCTAAAATGCATAAAAGTTATATTTGTGATTAATACATAATTACAACTGCTTAATCTAGCTGTAGCAACAATATGTATAGGCTGTATTTTCTAAGCAAGAGTGTATACGGGTGGATCTGTTTACATAGAAGTTACATGGACTTAGCATCATGAACCTGCTGAGTTAAAAGACAATATCTGAAAAAGACAATATCTTATTAAAATCTAGTAAACTGTGCAGAATGTACTTCTCAACATTTCTCAGTTTTGGCATCCCTGATAATGAAAATAAGCATAGACACATAACGTTGTAGGGTAAGCTAGTCAGACTTGCACAAAAATGTTAAAAGGAAAATCTGCTTAAATTGATTTCTTTTGGGTTTTCAGGTTTGGGAGGAAGCTAAGTATTATCAGGGGAATTGTTGAACAGGAAATCCAAGCAATGGTATCTAAGAGAGATAATATTGCTACTCATCACTTATACCAAGCTTGGGACCCTGTTCCATCACTTTCTCCTGCTACTACAGGTAAGTACCTGTGTGTGGGGAGAAGGGGACAGTGAATTTATTTTACATTTAAAAACCAGGAAAGATACTCTTAGGAATTTATTTGAAATCCAGTTTGCAGGTAATGAAGCCATGTTCACATCTACTTTGTTATGCACGCTTTAAAAACTTGTCTTCTGTTTTGTTACAGGTGCTCTTATCAGCCATGAAAAACTCTTACTGCAGATCAATACTGAACGAGAAATAGGAGATATGGATTATAAACTGGGACAGGTTTGTTAAAACCTTAACTTTGAACTTGACTTCTATTATGTTTCTTCCAGTTTGTGAAAATTCAGTTAAGAGGTATTTACAATAAATGTAAACTGAAAGCCTGAGTGATGCAGGGTAGATCATAACTGGGTGACTCCTCTCAGCCAGCTGTCCCACCTCTCATGGAATTTTTGCTTGTGTGTGTGAGGTCTACCCGTGAGCCATTTACTGAGTTGTACTTTTCAGCCTTGTGTGTTAAAGAGCCCTTGTACTGTTAGCTTCCACTTTAACTATTGGATTTTAATTTGATACTGCATGCTTGCAGTAGTCCTTAGGAAATGAAAAATCGCTGGACATAAAATAAGTCATGTTTTAATTTTAAATAAACTCAGTGTAGGGACTTAAGTTTCACTGGATGATGTTAGTTGGAAAGTTAGCACTATATACAGTGAGTTAAAAAATAGTCCTTATCCAGTTATTTATCTCCTTGAAAAATTAATCTCTATATAAATTACATATAAGTTTTAAATGTAATACTTGTTTCACTATTTCAATAGTATGTATTAGTGAAAAAAACTTAAATACTAAACTCGGATAACATTTTTCTTGAGGAATCTTTTGCATAGGGAAGACTAAACGATGATTTGTCTGTCTGTAGGTGTCTGTGTGTTCTCTTGAAATTCTAAATGGCTTGAATTTGCAGGTTTACAGACCCTACACGTTTTTTACAAAAACTGTTAAGTCTATAACAATACTAGGCATTTGACATACTGCTTGAAAAATAAATAAATGTGGGTATATATTTGCTTAACATGGAAAAAAATTCTATGTAAGGGTTAATTTTTGGTCCAAAAAAAAGTCTTGAGCTATGTAAAATAAGTAACTTTAGAGGAAGAAGTAATATCTGTATTGAAACACAGGAAGTGCTGATTTTGTTTTGGAATCTTCAGACAGATCATTTGTGAAATACCATCAGCAGGTTATTGTTCTGAAACTTTAATTTTATAAGGAAAACTTAAAGAAGAGCGAAGTTCTTCTTCGTAGAGAACTCTTTATCTAGCCTGAGTCAAAGGACTTGAAATCTTAGTCTTGTCTGGTTTCAGAAGAAAGGTTATATTGCAGTCAGATATGCTGAATTATGGTTAGTACGTGCTTACAAGTTATAGCCAGATGCTACTTTCAGCATCACCTGTATTGCTCTACCAAGCACACAGTGCTGCTGTTTTTGCTGTGCCATACAGTCTAAAGTGAGTAAAACTAAAATGTTGAAAAAGATTAAAATGAAAAAATACTGTGTGACGTGCAGATGAGGCTCTGTGTTTGTTGCCTGTCATTTAAAGGAACGTATTGGACTTCTAAGATTTTATACTCTGACTACAAGGATGTTAAATGTCATGCTTTTCTATTTATTTTTCCTATTTTTTCTTGTTTTTCATGTTGCAAGGTTTCGATACACTCGATATGGTTGGGAAATAACATCACTCCATTGAGAGAAGAAGAGTGGGGTGAGGATGAAGAAGATGAGAATGATATACCTGCTCCTTCCTCGCCACCAACCTCTCCTGTTAACACCAGGTGTCTTCTTTTTTTTCTTGTCTCTCCTTTGACTTAGCAATAAGCTTTTATCTCTTTGTGCTGAGTTCAGTAAGCTGGCTTTACAAATTGGATGCTGGTAAATAACTGTATTATTTCAAATCAAGTACTTCAGCAGGGCTTAAGAACAGCCATTTTAACACATGCTTATTGTGCCTTGCAGGAAACACCGGGCTGGTGTAGATATACATTCTTGTTCTCAATTCTTGCTTGAACTGTACAGTCAGTGGATATTGCCATCAAACCCTAGCAAGAGAACACCAGTCATTTTGATTAGCGAAGTGGTGCGATCAGTAAGTCAACTATTATTCAGAGTTGTAATGGAGTATGTTACCAAATGTTCAGAGCTAAGCCGCTTTTGTAAAGCATCTTTTAATATATGGGAAATACTGATTTTTCTTGGCAGTGCTATTATATGGGTAGTGCAGAAATATAACTTGAACAACTACAACATTATACTATTTTAAACTATATAGGCATTTGTATTGCATATTCTGCTACTACATTACAAACACTTTATTGTCACTTAATGATGGTAAGACACAAAGTAGATTTCAGGATTTTGCTTATCTTATCTCTTTGTAACAAAGCAAAGATGGAACAACAATGTATTAGAGGATTAAATTGCCTATTGAAGTGTAGAACCAAACATAAAGAACACAGGTGTGCAATGTGTCTTGATAGTCATTGTTCACTACTATAAGAGACTTAAAATTAAACTCTCCTTGCAAGAGAATATGTATTGTGTGTTGTGTGATATCTTACTACATTGTAAATGGCAATGTTTGTTCATTTTCCAGGCTAACTATAGTAGATTTGGTTTTGTAAACATTTTGGAAAAAAGGACTATTTGGAGGCAGTTGTTATCAGAGATGGATGGTGGAATTAATTCTGGACAAGTTAACAACAGTTATTGCAGACACTTGAGTTAATGTTTACTCATTTAATAGATTGATAGAGGAATCTTTTGCTGACAATTATAACAGAAGGGAAAGTCAATTTTTGTCTGTCTGCTAATGGGCTTTTTTATATTCAATTCTGTGTACAGCTTCTGGCAGTATCGGACTTATTTACAGAAAGGAATCAGTTCGAGATGATGTATACAACATTGACAGAATTGCGAAAGGTGCATCCATCAGAAGATGAGATTCTTGTACAGTATTTGATACCAGCCACTTGTAAAGCTGCTGCTGTTCTTGGAATGGTAAGAAATTCTCATGGGAACTTGTTGCAAATTCATGAGAGTCTGGGTTAACTCGTTCTTAGCTTCTGCTGCAAAAACTGATGTACTTGGTCAGAGTATTTTGTCCCTAAGAAAATCCTTTAGCTGATCTGTATGCCTGTAAGAAGTAATAGGATATGTATTCTGGGCTTTCAGAGGTTGCAAACATCCTCCAGTTGCCCTATATTCAAACAGAAACATTGTTTGGTTTGGGGTTTTTTTGAGGTTTGAGCTTAATTTAATGTGCTTTTTGGCTTATCTTATTTGTTTGTTACCCTTGTCCTGGACTCATTTGTTACATTTCTGGGCAGAAATGAGGACTGTGGAACAGCCAATGCTAGATTTGTGTTACAGGTGAATGGCTATAATCTCATGAGAGGCTGGGGCAGTGCATGTGATGAATGTGTAGTGTGATAGTCAGGTATCCCTTTTCTTTCCCTCACTTTGCTTTCCTCCACTGCATTGTTCTGTATTTAGGGAAAAAAAAAAAACATTAGTAATGCAAGTTATTTAATGAAATACGTTGCTCTAAATCTGTAGACCAGAGAGCAGTAGTATTTTTCAATGGACATTTCAGAATGCAAATATTTAGGAAAAAAATTACAAATTCTTTTGGAAGGAGTTAGTATTTCTAGAAGCTCTCTGAGACTAATAAAAAACTCTCTGTATAACAGTGATAAGAGAAATTTTGAAAGACTTTTGGGATAGAGCTTCCAGTAGCTATTGTAACAGCAACTGTGCAAGGGAAGGCTGTGAAAGTAATGCCAAATGTACAGAAGCAGTTTAGAGATCAGATTATTCTGACTAGGCTGTAATTTCCCACTCAGTGAACACCTTCTTGCAAGAAAGCAGCTGAATATAACAGGTTAGAGGGAGGGGAAGAAAACGTTCGTTCCATCAAGGGTTGCTTGTTGTCCTGTGCTCAGTTATGGAGAAAATCTGCTTAAAAAGAGCAACTAGAGAGCACAAACTGTAAAACTGGCCTGTGTTGGGATCACCCTGCACGGCTCGACCTTAAGGAGAAGGAGCTGTGGCATTGAGAAGCTGGTGAACAGCTGGATATCTGCATGGCTCGGCCTTGAGGAGAAGGAGCTGTGGTAAACAACTAAGAGGAAGCAAAGGAGTGCAGGAACACCTGCAGGCAGTGAATCCTGACTGTGTGAGAGGCGCATGGACAGCGTGTGATATTTTGTATATAGCCAATTGCAATAATGTGTGTAACAAGCTGTAACCAATCATGAGTGTGTGTGCAGTGACTAAACAAAAATTATTATATATATTGGAGTCGGACAAGACAATAAACGGCTTCGGAATATAACTCTCATAGAGTTGTGAAGTCCATCCTCCTCCCGCAGGCCTGTGTCTCAGATACTTCATGAATGCAAGGACAAGGCAAAACAAACACCTTCTATGAAATTCTTAAAACAGATTGTAAGAAAAAGACTTCTCAAATCTAACGGTTTAGAATAGGTTTTGCATATTCCAGTACATTTTTGTACTTTGATAACAGGGAGTAAAGTACCTGATACGAGCTTGATATTTGAAGACTAAACGTAGAATCACAGAATCATTTAGGCTGGAAAAGACCCTTAAGATTATAGAGTCCAACCCTTAACCTAAGACTACCAAGTCCACTAAACCATGTCCCTAAACACCACATCTACATGTTTTTAAATTAGCTCCAGGGATGATGACTCAACCACTTCCCTGGGTAGCCTGTTTCAGTGCTTGTCAACCCTTTCGGAGAATAAATTTTCCCAAATAGATATCCAATCTAAAACTCCCCCGGTGCAACTTGAGGCAGTTTCCCCTCATCCTATTGCTTGTTGCTTGGGAGAAGAGACCAACATGCACCTCGATCAAACCCCCTTTCAGGTAGCTGTAGAGTGCGATAAGGTCTCCCCTCAGCCTCCTCTTCTCCAGACTGAACAACTCCAGTTCCCTCAGCCGTTCCACATAAGACTTGTGCTCCAGACCCCTCACCAGCTTTGTTGCCTTTCTCTGGACACGCTCCAGCACCTCAACGTCCTTCTTGTAGTGAGGGGCCCAAAACTGAACACAGGATTCAAGGTGCGGCCTCACCAGTGCCGAGCACAGGGATACAGTCTCTTCCCAGGTCCTACTGGCCACACGATTTCTGATACAGGCCAGGGTGCTGTTGGCTTTCTTGGCCACCTGGGCATGCTGCTGGCTCATATTCAGCCAGCTGTTGACCGACATCCCCCAGGTCCTTTTCTGCTGGGCAGCTCCCCAGCCACTCTTCCTCAAGACTGTAGTGTTGCATGGGGTTGTTGTGACCCGGCATTTAGCCTTGTTGAACCTCATACAGTTGATGTTGGCCTATTGATTCAGCCTGTCGAGATCCCTCTGTAGAGCCTTCTTACCCTCAAGCAGATCAACACTCCTGCCCAACTTGGTGTCATCTGCAAACTTAGTGAGGATGCACTCAGTCTCATCATCCAGATCATGAGAGTGGTCATGGAGAGAAGGATGTGTAGTTCTGAGTGCCAGTGGTCTCAGAACAAATAAATGCAATGCTGTACTATAAGTTGAGTGGATGGCAAGGTATTCTTTTTGGATGCAGACTATAAGCATCTACCAGTCAGCTTCTAGAGGGAAGCATCCTTTATGGTTAGCCGGAAGGCCAGAAAATTCCAACCATCCAAGTCCTGTATGTAGAGGATTCTTAATAGTACATACTATTGATTGAACTAATGCTCATCTTGGGTTTTTTTAGCTTTAAATCATGAGATGACTTTTTACAGGTAAGATGAAGTAGCATTAGCATTAGTTTACTAGTTAATCTGCAAGTCATCTCCTATCTGATGATATTAATCTTGTGACATTTGATTCAAAGTAGTTTTAAGCGAGACTCTGGTTCATGCCATATTTTCTGCTCTTTAATTTGTTCCAAGTATTTCCAAATGACAGGAGTCACCAGTATTGAACCAGTGTTGACTTCTAATGAACACTCTTGTTGGACGTATTAGGATAAAGCTGTGGCTGAACCAGTAAGTCGACTTCTGGAATCAACCCTAAGAAGTACCCATATGCCAAGCCGGATTGGAGCTCTCCATGGAGTTCTTTATATCCTTGAGTGTGACTTGCTTGATGAGACAGCAAAGCAACTGATTCCAACTATCAGCGAGTATCTGCTCTCCAATTTGAGAGGAGTGGCACAGTAAGACTCTTCTCCCTTTTCCCCGCCCCGAACTGTTGCATGCTTATGTGTGAACAGAAGAGCTCTTTATGGATTGCTGTTGTCAGTATGTTTTAGAGCAGGCCGTTGTATTAAACAGGTTTTTGGCATTTCATTGAAATCTTGCGAATTAAGCTTATCAGCCAATTTTAGGTTTGATTAACGGAAGCACAAGAATATTTGGGGGTGAGGAAACTGTTTGATAGCTCAAGTCTGTTGTCTCTTTGGTAAATTGTGTTCCTTAAACCTTATTTTTCTATCAGAAGGCATACTCTTTGAATAAGACTTGCAGGATCAGTAATGAAGTTTTTCTCCTAAATAAGTCAGGCAATGATAGCTTCTAATTATATTGCTGACAAATTTCTGGTGTTGCATTGCATTTCCATGATAACCAGTGCTCTCTTATGGCATCTTGTTGATACTTTGTGTGATTTTTAAAAAATGCATAAATATCATGTGAAAAAATACTTAGTGTTTCTAAGGATTGTTTATATCGTATCTATTTGTGACCTAGACAACTTTGATGTAAGTGACTACTAGTGTTTTTGCTTATTTACAGTTGTGTGAATATCCATAACCAACAGCACATCTTGGTGATGTGTGCAGCTGCTTTCTATTTGATGGAGAATTACCCACTTGATGTAGGGCCTGAATTCTCTGCAGGAATTATACAGGTATGTTGTGATGCCTCCAATCACAGGTGGTCATGTAGCCTGGGATAACCACATAGCTATCTTTAACACTTAACTTCATTAGTGTGGTGTAGGTATGATTTCGGGTTTAGTTTAGTTGGGTTTTCTTAATGCCTGATGCAGTTCTATGCTAGCTGCTGTGGTATGGTGGTAGAAGATGACCTAAATACGCCTCAAAAAACAGGCAGTTGACTTTTTTCTTTATTTCAGATGTGTGGAGTCATGGTGTCTGGAAGTGATGAATCAACGCCATCTATTATTTATCATTGCGTCCTGAGAGGATTAGAACGACTCCTCCTTTCAGAGCAACTTTCTAGGCTGGATAGTGAATCGCTAGTTAAACTGAGTGTTGACAGAGTGAATGTGCAGAGCCCCCACAGAGCGATGGCAGCGCTTGGATTAATGCTGACTTGCATGTACACAGGTATTTACTTTTTTAAACCTTTCATGTGCTGAGAGACTTAGCTTAACAACAGTTCTAATTTTCTTCATTTATATTTGTTAACAAGGATAAAAAGGTCTTATTTTAGCATTCACAGTAAATTTATAACAAATTATTTTGGCTTAGGAAAGGAAAAGATCAGCCCCAGTCGTAGCACAGATGGAAATCCTGCCGCTCCTGACAGTGAATCTGTGATCGTAGCTATGGAACGAGTATCTGTCCTTTTTGATAGGTAAGAGGATAAAACATGTGTAATGGGGCACTAGGAGGGAAATGATTCTGCTTGGCACTGTGGGGTCACTTCTGTCTTTGACGGTTCTAATATTTAATTAATGATGTTTCTCTGCTTACCATTGCTTAAAATTGATACTTCTGGTATACACAGTAACACTGATGGAACTGCTGAAGGCAGCACAAATGTACAGGAATGTAAATGGAAAACAGACATGTCCTAACTGATACTGTGTTGCACAAACCATAATACTTTATAAATGTATTTCCAGCTCCCTTCAGGTCAAACTCTTAAGTGCTTTTCAGGATGTCTTCTGCATAATCAAGGATATAAATCCAGTTTATGGGAAATAATCTTTCAAACTACCCTAAGAGTTTAAAACCTTTTTTCCCTTCCCCCACCGAAGTGTTGCTCTTTCCAAGGCTGTTAAGTAATTGCAGTGGAAGAGTACAGTGAAACTTCTGTATTCACATGGAACTCATTTAATGGAAATATTTCAAGACCTCTGTTCTGATCTGACAATCCCAAGCTGTCTTAAGTGAGCATAGCATGTTAGATTTTGCGTAGTAGTTTGTGGGATAATGGTTTACATTTTTCAAAGTGTTCAGTGGTTTTTCCATAAAACTGGATGAGGGTTTCACTTCTGCACTCTGAGAACAGAAGTAGAACAGTGCTTGAGTGCTTTTGAAAATAGCACTCCAAAGAGTTAGTGGAACAAACATGAATGCTACAAGCAGAAAATAACTTTTGCAGGGAATAATCACAAGATGCTAACATGATCTCGACACATCAACAAGTGCAGCCTTTATTAGGAAGATTTTCCAATCAGTGTTATTTAAGTAAAATTGTCTTTAAGTTGGAGTATCTTTTCCCCTCTTTAAAGTGCAGTGCAACTTACTTTTCCTGTTCAAAATATTGGTCATCCTGGTCTTTAATAAAAAAAAGCAAAGATGTTATTAATGGAAATGAGTGTTCTGCTTATAAATGGTCTTTTCTCTGATAACTAGGAGCAGTGATCTCCCTGTCCTTTTTTGTTCTTGTTTATTTTTTTTAGCATTCCTGTTATTAAATCTTGTCTCTGCAATTCCAGGCTTCAAAAAATGTTGACTATTTTAAGAGGGGAGGGGGAACACACAACACCTGTAAAAACTTCTAATAGTTTTGATAGACCTCTTTGGGTAGACTGTTAGAGTAAGATTAGATGAAGACGGATTCCTCAGTGTTGAAGACTTTTTTGTCTATCTAGGTATGAAAGTAAAATGTTCTTTCTATTGCCAATTAAATTGGAAAAGAACAAGATATTTACTGGAATTCTATCATAAAATATGTTCCTTATTTTTTTTCAGGATCAGGAAGGGATTTCCTTTTGAAGCTAGAGTGGTGGCTCGGATCCTTCCACAGTTCCTTGATGATTTTTTCCCCCCGCAAGACGTAATGAATAAAGTTATTGGAGAATTTTTATCCAATCAGCAGCCTTACCCACAATTCATGGCAACAGTAGTTTACAAGGTAGTGTTTTTTTTTTTAAAACATTTCAGAAGATTTCTAAACAACTGACAGCTAAATTGGAGGGGCAAATACCAATTTTGTTAGATCTAACAAACCAGTTGCAGTGATTGAGCTGTACTGCTGTGAGCTTTGTCTTGCAGGCAGCATGGAGGGCCAGAATCACCATGTCACTGATAATAGGAAAATAAAGAGAAAATTAATAGTTGTGATCCTCAGACTCTTTAGATATCAAGGAGCCAGACCAGGTCATCTGGCCTGGTGAACTCTACAGTCAAGCCCCTGTGGACTCAGTTGGGCTTCTGGGTATTTTGCTCTTCAGCACCTACTTGCTGGATTCATGTGTCACTTGAGAGTGCATGTGCGTGCCATGTTTGATCTATGAAAATAGAGCCACCAGACAAGTCTTGCATTTCTGTATGCTTACTTCAGTTTGGCACAGATGTCATGAGTCCAGCTGGATCCTAACTTACTTTCTTGCAGAATCTCTTTGTGTAGGCATTGTGTTCACTAATTCTTTAGACTCAGAGTTGTCTCCAGGAATCCGGTTTGTGAACCTCAGAGCTTTGTAGCTGGAGAGAACCTTTACAACAGAAACTAAACTTCCCCATGTCCATCTACCATATCTTGTGTAAAATATTTTTGCAGGTATTCCAGACCCTACATAGCACTGGACAGTCCTCAATGGTCCGTGACTGGGTGATGCTGTCTCTCTCTAATTTCACACAAAGAACACCTGTGGCAATGGCGATGTGGAGTCTTTCCTGTTTTTTTGTCAGTGCTTCCACCAGTCAATGGATTTCAGCAATGTATCCTGAAAAGACTGAATGTGTGCCATTTCTGGGTAAATGTAGTGATTCTGTAAAGCACCTTGATAGCCTTGAAGGATAAGAGTACAAGTTTAACACACAAAAAAAAGGCAGGTTAACTGCAGTTGGTAGTGGTGTATATCGCTTTGTGCTATTGGTGCCTCAATTTTCAGGGGAAAAAAGAGAATTTCATAAACAGAGAATGAGAACCAAGTCATTTTATAAACTACTATTTTAAGATCTATTCCTTGTTACTATGCAAAATGATCAGGAAAGTCCTTACTTTGAAGAACTTTTTAAACGCTTCACGAGATAGGTTTGCAGTGACCCTTAAAAGCTTTGTTTTATATTCCTTCTGCAAGATAAAATGTATTTTTTTAAAAAAAGAACAAACTCAAATTAAAGAAAATTATCCTCTGCATTACATACTGTATTTTGCAAGTGTTGCCCTGCAAGTGCACTGCAGTAGCAGTGACCTTTGGCAATGGAATGACATCAGCCAAATAAGTTGGAACACCCGAAAGACATAGGTGGTATCAGTACTGTGTTTATTTAAGAACAAACAAGCAGAAAAATAACTGTTGCATTTCATGACCAGGCAAAACAGTGGCCATATGTCATGTTTGAAACTTCTTAATGACTCTTAATCTCAGCAGTGCTCTGTTGGCTATCGGCAGTTGCAACTGAGTTGCTGATTGCACTATTTGCTCCAGTGGATAAAGAGAACTACTGCTAGATTAAAATGAATTTCTGGGGATAAGAAATTGTGTGAAGTTAATGAAGAAATAGAAGTTCCGTAGTAGCAGTTTAATTGCTACATGACAGTATTTTGCACTCTAACATTATTGGTGAACGCAAAAATACACCATTTTATTGGAGAACAGTGTTTAAAACTGCTATACCAAAAGATGAGCAACTTCTGTCATATTATGACCTTAACCTGTATTTCAGTCTTCCACATATTATCAGCAGAATGGGAAAATCAGAGCAAGTGGATGTTAATATCTTCTGTTTGGTGGCCATAGACTTCTACCGACATCAGATAGATGAAGAATTAGATCGGAGGGCCTTTCAGTCGGTGTTTGAGGTGGTAGCATCTCCAGGAACCCCATATCATCGCTTACTAACTTGTTTGCAAAATGTCCACAAGATCACAGCATGTTGAACATCCTGATGTGTAATGGAACTGCATGACTAGTGTTGGAATCTGATATGAATTATGGGGAATGCAAGATCAAGAAGGTATCTGGGGTTGCATTTGTGATAAATAGGGACCTGTCAGTTTTACTTTCAGAAGGCATGGACAAGTGCTCTGCAGCACTGGAAACCGCCTGAAAAGTCTACTGTAGTTCTTGTTGACACCGGGCACCTGAGAGTGGAAAGAAATATGTTGCTGTTTTTCAGGTGGTGTTTGGGACTAACCTGAGACACATTTACTAAATTGTAAAATACGAGCAAGTAATACATGCAAGGTAACTGGCATTTTTCTTCTTCCTAATGTTCAGCTGAAGCCACTGCGGTGCAACGGTAAGAAACTGAGAGAAAGACTGTTATTGCAAGCTGCAGTCATTAGAAAACTTCTTAATTTTATGTACCTGTATATACTGTTGTGTAGTACAGAATAGAAATTGCTTCCTAATGTCTCTCCCAAACAAGGAAAAGAGAAAATGGCTTTCATGATTTATACTTCCAGCATGTAATTCCTCTCTCTGGACTTCCTGATATCCTGTGGTGTATGTGTTGGTGATATCAGAGATATAGTGCACATACGTAACCACACTTTTTCCTTTTTTCTTCTCAGGACTTAAAATTTGAGTACAGTATATCAGTAAAAGAAATTTTAACGTAAATATTTCTATATCATGTACAGTATGTAAAATTGTAAGATGTGTGGTGCATGAGCTGTGCTATAATTTGAGATGAACAGAAGCCACGCTACTGAATGTCTTGACATCTGTATTGTCCTCATTTTTTTTCCCTTGTGTTTTGAATTCATGTTTCTTTTGGAAATCCATCTTAATGTACAGATTACATCTTGTTTTGCATCTCAGTTTAAGAAAAAGTGCTTTAAAACTCGAATACATTGATTAATTTGTCTTGAGAGACTGTATTAAGGAGGCATTCTTGTGATCCGCTTTTACTGTAGCTTCTTTTGAATTCCTTTATTTTGAGACAATGATAAAAGAGAGGACTAGTTACTCTGGATCAGCCTTTTGTATACTTAAAATGCTCTTATTTGCTGCCTGGCATTTTAAGAGGCAAAATGGTGCAAGCTCCCCAGTAGTCAATAACCATTTGACCTTTCCTAACTGAGACCATGGAGTCATCTGGATTCAAACCACTCTTATGTAAACGAATTTATGCTAGCAGTTAAGAATCAGAAGGCTGCTGTGGTCTACTTTGGGACTGGCTAAGGTGTTAGATTACACAACCTCTTTTATTACCTGTTGTAATCTACATAATGCTTTAGACACAAACAATACAAATATCCATGAATTTCAGGACACTACACAGGGACAGATTTAGCTTTTACTCACCACCCAGGGAACCCCATTGTTTCCTAAGCATCACATGGGGAAATGTAGCGCAGCATTTGTCTTTAGTTGTAATTGTTATAATTCTTCAATTACAGAGAAATGATACCTTGGTTCTCAGTCACATCCTATATTTAACCTTTTTTCATTTTCTGATCACACCTTTTGGTGACACTTGGAAAAATAAGATAGTGTTGTCAGGAGGAGCGTGTACTGTATGTATTTCTGTATATAATGTATATGTTGAAATTATACACATGTGACAACATTTAATGTATACAGATGTGTATATTTGTATTTATTAAACCCATGTATTTAAGCGAATTCCAATCTAGACCAAAAATTGTTGCTTCTGCCCATAAATTGATTACAAAGGAATTGTCCACTGGTGTCACTTCCTTTTAGAAGCTGATAGAGGAAACTGGTAGTATGGGCAGTAGAAACAACTGTAGATGTTGCTGTATTTAGCGCTCTACAGATCTTAACTATCTAGAGCAATTATTTCTGCCCTTAGTTGGGTTACTTTTCTTTCTTGGGCCACAGCACTGTGGTGATTTTTAAAAGAAACTGAACAGGAGTTCAGAAAAAGGTTTAATAAAATAGATGCTGTTTGAAAGTTTTTGAGTTATATTGGAAATATCTTAATTCTGGTAAAAACTAATTCAAGGCAGTGGGATATAACGCCCTGTACTTTCATTAAGGGTAGTGTAGATCACTTGTCCCTTTTGTAACCACCAATAATCGTTTTGTACTGTAAACCCACACACCAGTCAGTTTTTGTATGATATATAGTTTAAGTGAAGATATTTTTGTAAGCTATTTTCCAAAATTTAAAATAGATTTTAATATATTTTTTAAGCATCAGGTTAGTCATATTCTCGCCATATAACATTATATGTTGTGTTACAAACTGTTAAATTCTTCATTTTAAGCTCCTCATGATTAACACAGAATAGCTAGTTACTTTACCTTGAGATCACAGGAGCTAACCCCTTTCTGAAACTTTCCAAACCAATTTGTGAATTGCCATAGAATCTTTCCAGCCAGTGAGGAATACATTGAATTAAGCAGTCAGCATGACTGGATTAAAAAAGTCAGATGTGACAGACCCCCTTCCCTCAAATGCCCGTTGCTGGCCTTCAGGCAAATATTTGCGTTACCCCTTTCTAGTCAAGCTTTAGAGCCGATGCAGTTAGTTCTAACCTCACATAGATTCACTGGTAGTAATAACTCCATCTGTGTTAACATCTGTTGGAGATTTGTCATAGTATACCTCCTGAAACATGTGTCCTAAGTGTCTAAAGAAGGGCACCTCCTCTTAGGAAATTCTCGGTGACCTGAAGGGAATGTAACTTAAGGGTCTTCCTAGTGTGGATACACACACCGGTAGTGCTTCAAATCTAATGCAGCACACTTTCCTGTCTACTTCCTAGACACACTTTCCCCACCCTCATTTCTTCGGGAGTGAAAGAGTTTAAAATCACTCCTGCCTGCTTCTAGTGACAAGAGCCAAGAGGTGTGTGATGGGGACAGTAACAGCAAAACAATGGCCACCAAGAAATACTGATGTTGGATTTAAGGAAAAAAAATAAATCACTTGTCCCTTGAGGTTGACTTAAGGCAAAGTTTTATTTCACAGAATGTTTTTAACTTGCTGTAGACAGAAAGCTAATTCTGAAAATCAGGCTGTTCAGTTTTTCATTGAGAACAAACTAGAAATATGTTTTGGCTTAAGATTTACATTTGGTGTCCTAGCTGACCAAAGCAAACAGTTTCTTTAATGTGCTCTGCAGTGGAACTGGCTTCTTTACAGCCTTGCAAGATTAGAGGTATGGCATGATTGGGAGCATACTTAAGACAGATGAATGTTTAAAACTTCAGTTACAATTCAGTTGTCAAAGAACCTACTTTACTAAATCTATAATGTGGCCCTCCTTTAAGAACACTGTATGCTAGCCAACTTTTTATAAATAGCTTTTGGGCCAGCTACCCACTGGCCCCATTAAATAAAGTTTGATTGCATTTCATTTCAGCATGCCTCCTCCCTTGCACCGAGTGCAAGAGTGGGGAGCTGGAAACTACAACCCATTATAAAGCAGTTCTTATTTGTGGGAATTGAAGTATTTTCTTTACTATTTATGTTCTTTGCCAGTTGAAACTGAATGTGAGCTTACACTTTAAAGATGATTTAAATATACTTAGATGTCATTTCTTGCTTAAAGCATCTAGTAAATGATTGTGTATTACTTTTGCCTTGGTAGGAATGCCTTCTCAGCACCGAGACACTGCTTTTTTTTTTCTTAACCATCAGCAGCATTCCTAAAGCACCGAGTAATGAATGAACAGATTTAGATCAAACGAAGCAGGGAACAAGTGGAACTTTTTTGGTTAAAAGTGATTTGTTGATATTTAGTAGATTTGCCTTAAGAGCATTCTGTCTCACCATTCTCCTTTTTAAATGGCTGTTAATTTTATATAGCAGATAAGGAGGTTGTGTCAAAAACACTGCAAAGACAGTTCTCCAAGAGCAGCAGACCTGGTTTGTCTTAAGATTTTTGTGGCACTGTCACAGCTAAGCATTTATGCTTCTGAAATAAAAGAAATTTTAGGGTATAATGAGCAATAAATATAGCAATAAGCAGTTTAATTAAATTTGGTCATTCAGGATGTTACCCAGTGATTGAAAGGGATGGGGTGGGAGAAAAAGGGGAACGGATTCAAGTACATTAATTTCATAAAGCAGACTTTTTCCATGTACAATCCCAACTAAACTTTCTACTAAAGGTAGAAGTTAACTAAGTGACAATGGTTTTGCTCTTTTAAAACCATTTTGGTTAGAAGGATACAATTGATGAAAGTTACAAGAAAGCAAAAGTACTTTGTTAGTTTTTAGATAGTTTAGTTATTTTAAAGTGAAAGCAAGCTGCTGTAAGAACTAGAGTAAGCAATGTAGCAAAACTTTGGGGAAGTCCAATATGCTAATTTTACCTAATACTGAGATTTCAGGTGAACTCTTTGTGCATGCTACCTTAAAGTATCCATTGAAAATCTTCAGAATCCCACAGTCATACCCAGGAGAGCTTCTATCTGTCCTATGTCAAGTTTTAGCTGTATTCAAGTTAACTGGGTATAAATGCTGCAGAGCATTTGTGAAGCATGCGCTGCTTTTTGTCATGTGCATTTTGTGTGAGCTTATCATTCCCATCAGTCTGTGTACGCATACCATCAAGTTGGATCAACCTGACAAAGGATAAGGTAAACGGCATGTGACACACACCCTGTGGTGCTGTCTTGTATAGTTTAAGGGCAATGATGAGCAAAAGCTTGGAGCCCCAACCCCAAAAGCAATTGTACTCAAAGGAAAAGGAAAGCATATAATTTTAGATGTATGTTTAAGTTTAAAAGAAAAAATAAATGCTGAAAATACTGCACACTGAAACTAAAAGAGAAAATAAAATATAACTATTACTGTAAGTGATTTTTCTCTGGTTATTTAAAAAAAGGTCTTGATGCACTCTTACTACAGTTTTTTTCCCCCAGTATCTCTTCTTTTCAGCAACTATCAAATATGGAGTATTTTTAAAATATGCAAGAATACTTGAACTCTCTGCAAATGTAGGTGTGCTTCACAATCACAGCGTTGTTTGCAATTAGCAGAGAAGTATCACAGTTGAGCTTCTAATTGTATCTGATAGTCATGCTTGCCAAAATTTCTCTGGGATTCTAGATGAGATCAGAAAACGTGAAATTTAAGTGTACAGCTGTATTTGTGAATGAGGGTGTATTTAT